AGAGTTGGAAAGTATAGCATAGGGAATACAGTCAATAATATTGTAATAACATTGTGCAGTGACAGATAGTGACTGTACTTATAGCGATAAGCACTGAGTAATGTATAGAATTGTCTAATCAGTATATTATACCCTGAAATGTAATACTGTACATCAATTATACTTCAATAAAATAAAATAAAGTTTAAAAAGTATGATATTCTCAGGGCACCCTGGGTGGCTCAGTCAGTTAAACACCTGACTCTTGATTTCATTTCAGGTCATGACCTCAGGGTCGTGAGATTGAGCCCTGTGTTGGGCTCTGTGCTGGGTGTAGAGCTTGGTTAAGATTCCCTTTCTCCCTTTGTCTCTCCTTACTCTCTCTCTCTCTCTCTCACACACACACACACAGTATGATAGTCTGTAATCACTGCCTCCAATCCTTCCAGGTCACTTCACTCTAATACTCCTATTTAAATCATTTCTCAATTTCACTAAGATTTCCAATCCATTAACCTCACTTTTTTTCACTACCCACCACCACCTCTATATAGTTACTTCTCTCCTTTCCAGCGTAGAGTCCCTTCAATAGGGGAACCAATCACTTATCAACTCTCTTGCTCCTCTCTCCTTGTATTATATTTCAACCCTAGTTGAGTCCCATTATCAGCTCCTACAATGAAGTGGTTGAATGTTCCTGGATAAAAGTCACATAACTGGGATGATTGACTTATCATCCATGTTACAATGATTATAATCTTCCAATAGGTTCTCATTTCTTCTTGGCAATCCTAGAATGTTTCTATAGAAAGATTGATTTTTCAATTTCTGAAGATAAATAGTTTGTATTTTATCTTCCTTCCTCAAACCTTGTCCATACCTCATCTTCTTTACTCTCAGCCTCTGACTTTGGTTTAAATTTAGTAGAAAAAGTAGAAGCCATTCCATCAGAATTTCCTCATTTACTCACTGTGAATTTTACCAGTCTATCAGAACTTAATCTGTCTTCTCTGTTTTATCTCCTGTCTCTGCTCTTGTCCAAAAGAAATTCCTCTGCTTGTGGAATATTACTCAGCCATAAAAAGAAATGAAATCTTATCATTTGGAATGACATGGATAGAACTAGAGAGTATTATGCTAAGGGAAATAAGTCAGTCAGAGAAAGATAAATACCATATGATTTCACTCATGTGTAGAATTTAAGAAACAAAACAAATGAGCAAAGGGAATGAGAGAGAGAGAGAGAGAGAAGAGAGAGAGAGAGAGAGAGAGAGAGAGAAACCAATACACAGACTCTTTAACTATAGAGAACAAACTGATGGTCACCAGAGGGGAGGTAGGTAGGGAGGGGAGAAACAGGTGATGGGATTACAGAGTACATTTGTGATGAGCACCGGGTGTTATAAGGAATTGTTGAATCACTATATTGCACCCTTGAAACTAATATAACACTGTATGTTAACTAACTGGAATTAAATTATAAACTTAAAAATAAAGGAAAATCATCCATTTGTGATCTGGTTCCAGTACTCTTTTGCCTTCTCAAGTTTTTATTCCTTCAGTGGTCCCCGCTCTCCCTCCTTCATCGTCAATCTCTACCTTTCCACTGAATCATTTCATCAGCATAACCTGCTCTAGTAATTTTCATCCTAGAGCTTCTTTCCTTGATCCTGTATCCCACCTTGACTACAGCTCCACTTCTCTCGTGTTCTCTTTACCATAGGTCTTCTCCAGCTTTATAACCAGTTTCCCATCTCCCATTTACCCATTGGACAGTTTTATCTGGGCTTGCCTCTTCATCATAGCATTGAAACTGCTTTTGTCAAGGTCACCAAGAATGCCCATGTTATCCAATCCAGGACCCTTGATCTCTGAGCAGCATTTGACAGAAATGACATTTTCCTCTCTGTAGCTCCATACTCTCCTCCCCTCTGGCTTTTTCTTCTAAGCCTGAACTCTAAGTATTGGAGGCAACACTCCATACCACTTCTCATTTACCTGCTCTTTGCACAAGCGATTTTATCCAGTTCCATGGCTTTTAATGCTGATGCCTTCCAAATTCAAACCTTTAGCACAGAGCTTCACTCCTGAGTTCCAAATTTATTCACCAGCTATTCAATATCTAGTTGGATGCCTATTAAACATCTTAATCATTGTAGTCCTAAATACAGCTTCTGATCTCTCCCATAAGTCACTATTTCAGTAAATGGCACCAGCATCCAGTTGTTCAAGCCAACATTTTGGAAGTGACCCTGCAAGTTTCCTTTCCCGTATTTCCCATATGTGGCAGCCATGAAAACACATCGCTCAGATCTCTGATCACAGGGAGCATTACTGGCTGATGGCCCAGTCGCTATGCTCTGAAATCTATCACCATGACCCAGGCTGTACTTCCCCCAGATTGCTCCGAGCCAGTGACTGAGTGAGGCAGGGTTGGTAAGGCAGACCCATTCCTGGGAGACATAAGACTCCTCTGATGGGGGGCATTGGTTTGAGGACTCCCCACCGGCTTTCTTCGGGAGCATCTTGCATCATATCTACAACTTTTCCTACCTGTTTTTTTTTTTTTTTCCCCTGTCCTCCACAAGAGTTGATTCACCATCCAGTCTAAAGGTTTTCCCAGCCCCCTTCAGAGCCCTCCTTGTTTTTGCTTCACAGGTATCTTCTCCAATAAGTTTTCAGCATGTTTAATCTAATTTTATGGGCTGTTTCTCAAAGAACCTGAACTAACACACCACAGCTGAACAGTCAGCAATGTTATGTAATTTCTGTTTCCTAAATACATCTCTCGCAGTCATCCATTTCTCTCTGTTGCCTTCATCACTGAATAGAAGCTATGCCATTTCTCCCCTGGATTATTGTAATGGCCGCCTACTCTCCAAACCATTCTGAACATAGTAGCCAGAGTGACTTTTTTTAATAGTAAATCAATCATGCCACTTTCCTGCTTACAACCTTTCGATGGTTTTCCATTATACCTGGGGTAAAATTTAAACTCCTATGACCGCCACCAGGTACTTTAAAACCTGGCTCTTGCCTATCTTTTTAGCTTCATCTTACGTCATCTTCCTCCTTAGCCCCAAGCTTACCAAGCTCCAGCCATGCTAGTGTCCTTTCTCTTCTTACAAACTGTCAAATCCTTTCCTGCCTTCGGGCCTTTCCGCTTGCTCTCTCTTCTCCATAATTACTCTTCTCCCATTTTTTCAGAGGGTAGGTTCATTTTCATCCTTAGTGCTCAACTTAAATGCCCCCTCATCCGCAGGGCCTTCTCCTCCACCCATCTCCTTCATCATCTCCACCCAACATGATCCTATTTCCTCTCAAGCAGTTTCCACTACACGCAACCACTTTGCTTAGTGTCTGTTTCTCCCACTTGAACAGGAGTAGGTAATTATGACCCACAGGCAGCCAACTGTTTTTGTATGGCCAGGATCGAAGAATGGTTTTTACATATTTAAGTGTTTGAAAAAAGTTCCTTAAGAATATTTCACAACACAGGAATATTATGTGACATTCAAATTCCAAAGTCCACAGAGTTGGAACACAGTCACTCTCATTTAGGTATTAACTATGGCTGCTTTAACATCACAACAGCAAAGCTGAGCAGCTGCATATGGCCCACAAAGTCTAGAACATTTACAGAAAAAGTATTTTTTTTCTAAACTGTTATTTATTAAGTAATCTCTACCCCCAACATGAGGCTCAGACTCATAACCCCAAGATAAAGAATCACATGCTCTAGCAACAGAGTCTGCCAGGCACACCCAGTAAAGTTTTCCAGGCCACTGCACTAGAATGTGGGTGCCATGGGTCAGGGGCACTGATTGTCTTGTTCAGTCCTTCCCTCCTAGTGCCTGGTCCACAGCTAATGCTCAATTTATAGGACGAATCAATCTTCCCACTCTCCAGGGACTACTACTGTCTGAGGGGGTAGGTGGGTGCAGGTCTCATTGGCTTCTTCCCTTCTAAGACCCAGGCAGAGGAACTGGGAACCAATTACTATTGGCTCTAGAAATAGTACCTTGAAATAGTATCTTGAAAACAGGACTGGGTTTTATTCATCTTGAAATACCTAGCAAAGTCTTTCGTACAAGGTAAGGTGCTGCTGGAAGCTGGACGAACTGTTTTGGGGGTGTAGTTAAGATAAAATGAAATAATCATGCAACAGGCTCAGCATAACATCGGATGGACATTAGTGTTCACTCAAAGATCGCTCCTGCCTCAATTTTCCTTGCTGTGATGGGAATAAAAACCTGGGGTAGTACAACAGACTAAATTAAACAAGAATGCTCTGTGTGAAACAGCTTTGTAAACTACAGACACTGGCCGAATGGACTTATCCAAGTGCATGTGGTATATTACTAAACTTGGCATTGAGCCGCCCAGTTTGGAGGGAAGGGCTCTCACCTGGGAGTAAGAAGACATAACTCTTCCTAACTCTTACCACTTAACTGACCAGGAACAATCAGAACGTCGGTGTTGTTTCTTTTCTTCTCGCGGAAAAGCAGCCTCTGCACAGACGCGACACTCCTCTGCCTCTCTGCCGGGTCTTGCCTTTTCCCGCAGGTACCGAGCCCTCCCACTCTCGCCCAATCCGAGCCCGCAGGATGAGGCGGCCTGTGGGGCGGGGCCAGTCCGGGGGCGGGGCGGGGCGTGTCTGGGGCGGGGCCGCCCTCTTTCCGGGTGTAGTCGCCGCCGGGCCGGGCCACACGGGGGCGCCGCTGGGGCCGCGCTGCTCCACGAGTTGCAGAGCAGTCGAGGAGGCCCTCACTTCCGCGTCGGGCCCCGCGGCGTCCGGCGTCCGCGCCGAGGGCCGGGGGGGGGCCGCAGGTCAGTCGAGGAGGCCGCCTACCCGGCCCCGCCCGTGCAGAGGACCTGGGTGCCGGGTGGGCCGCGGGCCCGGGAGGCAGCGGGGCGCCCCGAGGAAGGGCCCGGATCGCGCCGATATCACGGGCGACCCGGGCTGCAGGCTCGGGCTTCGGGCCGATTCGTGGGCCCCCGGGCAGCGGGGAGACCCTGGCGGGGCTTTCTGGTGTCCCAGCCCCTCCCCCTCTCGTCCCGCATCGTGGGAGGAGTGCGAAGTCCCCGAGCAGCGTTTCTCAAAGTGGGGTCCGCGGGCGGCTTCCCGACCCCACCTCAGACTTTCTGAACCGGACTCTGTGCTGTGGCCCGGGAATCTGAATTGACAGCAAGCGTCTCTGATTGTTTTGAGGCAGGGGGTCCGCGAGCCGCACTTTGGGAGCAGTTCCGCGGAGGGCAGGGCACTTCCGACACAGCCAGTGTTTAAGCGGGTGCATTTGAGGACGGGGCCCGTGACTGGCCTTGAGATGGTGACGGATGGTTCTCTGCTGTAGGAGAACCGGACTGAGGCAGGGGCGGCTCTTACATCCTCGCGCTCAGGGTGCTGCCGTGTTCCTCCTGTCACAGCAGAAGCCTGCAGATGGACAGATGCTTAGTGAGTGGAGTGCCCGGGTCAGGGGCCTTGCGGATGAGCCGATGCTGAAGTAGGCAGTGTGGGGTGCAGCGAAAAAACTTGCAGCTGGTCCTGCTGGCCCGGATTGGGGCCGACCCCACCACTTACCCGCGGCGGAGCCCTAGTGTGGACCCTGCTCACCCCGCTCTACGTCTTTCTCCAGGGTCGTCCTCTGTCAGTAGGGACAGTAATTCCGACCCAGTGGGGCTTTTGTGAATTATATAATGTCTGCCACGGGTCTCCTGCAGTAACTGAAACCCCATAAGCACTGAGTAAATGGGAATTATTAAGAGTGCTGTAGAGTCTGCCTTCCTAGGGTTTATGCCCCCCCCCCATTAGGGATTAAATAAGTGAGATAAAACGTGTAGAGAGGTACAAAGTATATTTGGTGGACTTCGCACGGATTCTAATTGGGGGGTGCGTGGGAAGCTCATGCAAGGGGGTGCAAGGGATGTGGTTTGCCTGGGGCTCTCAAGAAGAGATGGATTCCAGGGGGCTGGTGGCTGGGGTGGCGGGAGCCTGTTCCCTCCCAGGCTTCACACATGGTTTTCCCACTTGGATCTTGGCCCGGTTACGCCTCCGACTTCCAGGCAGCAGAAGAAGTCACATTGATGAGTGGCGTTGGAAAGCTGGACCGTGGGTCCGTGAGAGTTTCTGTCTACTGACCATGTTTGACGCCCAGTGTTTTTGTCAGACACCAGTGGTCTCCTTTCCCTGATGCATTAGACACTGGCCAGACTGGAGCATCTCGGAGAGGATGCTCGCAGTACACGTGAGTTGCCAGGACTGAGCCTCTAGACTGCCGTTTTACAGGTGCTGTGGAATGTGCAGTTATATCAGGAGAAGCTCTTTCATCAACATGTTGTTTCGGGTTCGGTAGAAACCCCACAGTCATCTGGGGTCATCCATCTCCTGAGAGGATTAGCAAATCAGATCCTTAAAACTTCCCTAAAGCTTCAGCCGCTTTGGACTGGAGAAGCCACATGATTTAGAGGTGTTATTTGTTGCTTTCTGGACCGGTCTGGCTACTGGTATACATAAAATCCTGATTTCAGTCAATAAATGACATGTGTTCCTTGGTGACCTAACCTGGGAACTGCAATGACCATTGTTAATACTTTCTGCTTTCACGTCTCCTTAAATCTCCAGAGCCAATCTCAATCCCTCAGTATTCACCTTATCGTGAAATTTATATCATTATAGATAATATTTATCACTTACCAAGTACTTACTCTGAGCCAGAGACTGTCCTGTATGTTCTGTCAGCTTCTCTTAGCTTTTTATATGTCCTGTCGGTCCTTCCTCTGATAGTCCTTTGAGGTGGGCACCATCCCTGGGTCCATTTTATAGATGAGGAAACGGCAGAGGGAGATAAGTACTTGTCCCACCCTAGTAAGTGGTAGAGCCTCGTAGCCTAATCCCACGCTACATGCTGACCCTCTCTGCGGTCTAGACAGCTCCCTCAGACTTACTGTAGCATATTGTAGCATAAAAAAATATGTGAGTACCAGAGAACATAAGCAAACCTCACCTTTGCTTTATATGTGACATTCAGTGCATTATTTTAATTCTTTACACAGTCATTTCAATAGCTATGATTTGGTTGGTGACAGTTTATCATTTGCAAATGCTTTGAGCCAAAGTTTCCCAGCTTCCCAGCGTATCTCGGACTTCTTTAATATTACATAAAGCCCTTCAGTATTGTCAGAGCTGAGGAATTTGAGTCACATTAAAATGTGTTTATTTCATTATCTACTTAGTGCATTGTAGGACATGTCAGCAGTGGTTGTTCTTTGTTTTCACAGAGGTGGAACAGGACGGCCCTTACTTTGCAGTTTCTGAAAGCGTTTGAAGGCAAAAATTCAGGTGTTGCTGGGAGCAATGGAAGGTCACAAGGCAGAAGAAAAGGTGTTAGATATTCTTCGACTGAATGTGGGTGGCTGTATTTACACAGCCAGACGTGAGTCCTTGTGCCGCTTTAAAGACTCGATGCTGGCATCCATGTTCAGTGGTCGTTTTCCTCTAAAAACAGATGAATCGGGTAAATACCTAAAGTCTGTAAGCATGGTCATCAATATTCATTAAAATAGTCTAGTTTGAATTCCCTTTGGTTTTCGTAATTACAATAGGATGTATTTGACCAGTATACTAATTATTGAGACCATTAGGGCCGAATGGCGATTCATTAAATACATGGAGAAATGAAATATGAGTTTCCAGAGTCTGTGACGCTGTCACTACAAGTTGACAAGAAGACGAATGCGTGTAAAGGCCAACCGTGACCTCATTATGGGGATTGATTGTATTTGGAATGTTGTTCCATCCGTGTAACCCCACGGATGAAGATGTTGAGGCGTCCCTCTGTGTTTTGCAGATTAAAACACCGATTTCTCTGGAGAAAGCAGCCGTCCTCCTAGTTCACAGAGCAGTCAGTGGTAGTGTTGAATTAGCATGAAACTTGCCACATCTAGCTGCGTAGCCTTGTGTGGGCTGACATGTACACACGAGAAATGTCAGTCACTTAGTGGGGGGAGGACTGAACATTGGGGTTCCAGAAGGGACTGTAAAACACAAGGGTAGAGATCTGGGCTGCTCTCCCTGCTTGGAGTTCTCTGGTGTTTACTGAACTGACTACTGGTTGTCGAGAAACTTCGGCCACACGAGTAAGGCATTTTGCCCCTCTTCGGTGTTCTGGGGCCCAGAGAACCCACTCTTGCTTTTGTGTCAGGAGAGAGGGAGTGAGGAGTCTTGAGCACGGGGGACTCTTGGTAACCCTGGGTCTTAGGAGAGTGGTTTGTCAGCTGGAGGGCAGTTGAACGAATGGGAAACACCAGTGGCTGGTGGCCAGGGCTCGATGGCTACGTGGGTAGGAAGATTGTTGGTGAAAAGATGGTAAGCAGGGGTTGTGGTTTTTTCCCCCCAGGTTTTAGCTTCTTAATCCCTTCTATTCTAAGCTACTCAAGGGAGAAAAGGAATTACTGAGTAACCTTCCATCAGCTTTGCTAAATTATCATAAAATAGTACCGGCATAGCATCAGGAGCCCTGGGTTTATATGTCAGGGACACTAGCAGCTGGCTTAGAGCCAAACATGACGTGTTAAGAGCACGCCCTCATTAGGGAGGAGCTCCATACGTCCTTCCTGGCTGGGCAGCATTGAGGTTAGGGTAAGTTTACATCTCAGGAGCAGTCTGGGGTCTCCATGGCTTTTAGAAGGCCACAGCGGGAATATGGTCATTGCATCCAAAATCCCAAATGGAGCTTGGAATACATTTTCCTGTACGGTTGGTGCAAACACAGAGAATCACCAAATCTGACTAACCCCATTTGAACCGTAGCTACTAAGTTTCTCATTGTAGAGGTCTTCAGTCTGATTTTAGTTGGACATGTTGAAATTTTATCTATGATCATGTGTATCTATGCAATGATTTTTGAACTGAATGTTTTCTAGGGGCTTGTGTTATTGACCGTGATGGACATCTATTTAAATACCTTTTGGATTATCTTCATGGAGAAGTTCACATTCCCACAGATGAGCACACGCGAGTTGCTCTCCAGGAAGAGGCTGATTATTTTGGCATCCCTTATCCGTACAGCCTGTCTGACCACTTGGCCAATGAAATGGAGACATATTCTTTAAGGTCAAATATAGAACTTAAAAAGGTCTTGGCATTTTCTTAAGTTTTAAAAATTATATATGTGTATATATTTTTACATTTTTATACACAAAGCAATGTGTGTTATTTTGCGTAGCTTGTGTTACCACATAAGCCAAACATGGGAAAGTTTTACTTTTCTAACATTTGAAGACACTTTTCTTAATTACTATTAATTTTTTTAAAGATTTTATTTATTTATTTGACAGACAGAAATCACAAGTAGGCAGAGGCAGGCAAAGAGAGAGGAAGGGAAGCAGACTCCTTGCTGAGCAGAGAGCCTGATGCGGGGCTCGATCCCAGGACCCTGGGATCATGACCTGAGCCGAAGGCAGAGGCTTTAACCCACTGAACCACCCAGGCGCCCCTATTAATTTCTTTAAGACCAAAATTATGTGGTCTAGGAAAGTGTATTTTATTGCCACTCAGAGGTTTATGGAGTTTTTCTCTCTCATTGAAGATTTAATATCTTTTTTTTTAAAGATTTTATTTATTTATCTGACAGAGATCTTAAGTAGGCAGAGAGAGAAAAGATTTAATATCTTTTGATGGCTTTTTAAAAGTATTCTGGTCTTTAGGTTCTTTGTAAATTAACAGCAATACTGTAGTACATAACAGTATAGTGGTATTTTATTTACTGAAATGATTTTTTAAAAGAATGATCATGATGAATAAAAGATTGTATAAAATCTCCTACCTGATTTAGTGAATGTAGCAGTTTGTTACTAAGTTAAAACATAACTTTGATTAATTTACTTTGGGATCAGTAAATCTTTTTTTAAAGATGCTTCTCCTTTAAATCACATTTTAAGGATCTTTATGTGACTTGAAAAGCGTCATTACCTGTTTTTGTCATATCGATAAGTATTATATTGACTTTTAACACCTTTGGGGATCTAAAAGGAAAATACTTTTCCTAGATAATTAATAATAGTGAAAACTGATCTCAGTTGGTTTAATTTGGACATCGGTTTAGGAGAACAAGCTGACGGTACGGTTATTAGGAGTGCGGCATGAAGAGAAAGGTGATTTGGTTCCGGATCCCCTTCAGGAATTTGCATGGTTGCGTGGGTTCTGCTACTGAAGTTACTTAGAAGTTATTGGGTGCTGTTTGCCACATCTGCAGAATGGGGCTAAAACACCTGACTGGAAAGTTGGGGTGGGCTGACATTCATCTTCTGAAGTCTCAACTCCATAGTCTTTTGTTTCTGATTTGTATGCAAAAAGGACATTCACCATGTCAGCCAACACATACTTATCTCCAGTGTCTTAGGTGTATAGAGCCCTGCTCTAGGGACTGTGTGGGACACAAAGAAATACAACATACAGTTAGATAGCAATATTCAATGAAACTGTAAGACATGTGAGGGTCCTATTTTCATTCACTTGAGTGCATAAATACAAACATCTCCTTTGCGTCAGGCACGATTCCAGGCACTTGGGATACTAGACAAAGCAGACAAAAGTGCCGGTCCTCAGAGCACTCAGAGGAGTAATGCTGTTTCTCCCTGGGAAAGCTCTTGCCACTCCAGTGGGCGAAGCCCTACTGCTCTGTGTCCCTTCGCGTGACATCGGCTCCCCTGGTCGCACTTACGCTATGCACTGATGGCTTGCTGACTGTCTTTTACCTTAGCTATAAATTCAAGGAGGGTTGGGACACTGTGTTCAGGACCCTAGACACCACTCACCACAAGAGCAGCTTCTTAATATTCAAGTGAATGAATGAATAGGTAGATAAGTGCCAAAGGAGTTTTTACAGTTTGCATGGGGTTCATGTATCCCTATCTTTCAGTGGAAAAGAACAAGTTAATCTGCTTAATTCATGATTGGACATGGAGTTAAAAATAAGCATCAACCATGAGGCTTACTCAGTAGAAGGTGAAAGGAAGACTGAGTCAAAGGGGAAATTGGGCGAATAAAGGGAAAAGAAAAAGGTCTTTTGTCATACGAAGATTTTAAAATTAAAAATAATGTTGGTAGTGAGGCTAAAGGAGGGGGGAAAGGAAAATACAATTTCTCTGTGGGAAAGGATTCGGTAGAGGAAAAGGTGTTGGGTTTTTGGGTGGTGCCTTTTGTGGTTTGCCCCATGCTCACCTCAAATTCAACAAAAGCATGTTTGCTTTTTCAAGGCATAAAGACTAGGCCGAAATTTATAATGTTTTTATTTCCCATATGACCAACTAAAATGCAGCTTTACATGAAATAGAGCACATTCATTTTTACTTTACTCCAGAATTAAATTCAAATTTTGTATATTGTTTTTGCTCCAGGCTCTAACAGACTTCTGTGATTCATATGGTTTAGTTTGCAATAAGCCAACGGTTTGGGTTCTCCACTATCTTAACACATCCGGTGCGAGCTGCGAGAGCAGAATTATCGGCGTATACTCCACAAAAACGGATGGAACAGATGCTATTGATAAGCAGCTGGGAGGAAGAATTCACAGTAAAAGCATTTTTAAAAGGTATGTCCAAATTTAAATAGGAAAAGGAACAAAATGAAGTCTTGGTGTCTTGTAAGAGGTGTTCCTGAATGGAGTATGTGGTTGACTAGAGGACATGATCGACACTGGGCAGCGTGCAGCGTGAGCCCTGGCTGGCAAGACCAGCTTCATGATGTGCATGTAGGCCACAGGACAAGCACAGTGGTCTAGTCTATTGCCTCGCAACTGGGTGTGGGCATCACAATCCCCTGAGGCTTTAGAAAAAAGAAAAGCAAAGCCCCCTGCTTGCCTGTCTCTCTCCCCCCGGACCATACGTAGTCCAGGAGCAGAAGCACTGCTTAGAAGTCAGCAGGCCCACTGAGTGACCCAGGACTGGCCTGTGCCTTGGTGACCTGTTCTGAGAAATAACGAAGGACTTCCCTGGTCCCTCCCAGCCTTAAAATTCTATGACTCAAACATGTTAAATTCTTAAGGGTTATTCTCTTAATATTCTTTCTGTAAATTTACTTAACATTGGTCAGTTCACTTAGCAGTCCTGTTTTTTGTTGTTGTTATTATTATTATTTTTTTTTTATTTGACAGACAGATCACAAGTAGGCAGAGAGGCAGGCAGAGAGAGACAGGAGGAGGAGGCAGGCTCCCTGCTGAGCAGAGAGCCAGATGCGGGACTCGATCCCAGGACCCTGAGATCATGACCTGAGCCGAAGGCAGAGGCTTTAACCACTGAGCCACCCAGGCGCCCCTGTTGTTATTTTTTTAATTCTCTGGGTGGCTGGATTGGGTCACATATTACTGACTAATGAATGACCCCATGACTTGCTTATTAGGTGATTAAATATGTCATCATTTTCTGAATTCTTTCCAGGATGTTTATATAAGATAGGTGAGTGCTTGGCATAATGCTATGCAAGTTTTAGTCAAAGGTGAATCTTTTAAAATCTTCCTGGGGTTAGGTAATTTTTTAGAAAACTTATTTTTAAAGATTTGTTGATTTGTCTGCACAGTCTATATTGTGGAATTAACAAGTGCTTTACCACAGTAAAAAAAGATCAAATGTGGGTTAGCACAAGTATAACATATTATACCCATAGTATATAATACATAATATATTATCTATATACTTAAGGGAGGGTCACAGAAGAAATGTTATTCAATACCAACATATTTTTCCCCTTAATTAACAAGTACTTGGTGAGTATCTAGTTATGTGTGTGTTCGTGTGTGTGTGTGTATACACATACACACATTCATACTTAGGTAGTATGTTTTCATCACCTTTCGCAATATTTCTAGAGAGGCGGGAAATAATGTTCAGTACATTTGGAGCTATTATTCAGTAGCTGAACTGAAGAAAATGATGGATGCCTTCGATGCCTGGGAAGGAAAAGGTATAGTACAATTCTTTTATTTCATGGCAAAAAACAAAGTAAGCTCAAATGCTGCATTTCTCTTTTTGAGAAAGTATTTCTTTGTGTAGGTCAAGTATGTCTTTGTGTATTTGTCGCCGCGTAGTATCATTGATTGAGGCAGTTTACTTAAAAATCTTGAGATCTCTTGGGGTGCCTCGGTGGCTCAGGTGTTTAAGCATCTGACTCTTGGTTTCAGCTCAGGTCCCGATCTCAGGGTCATGAGATAGAGCCCGTAGTTGGGCTCCATGTTTAGCACAGAGTCAGCTTGGGACACTCTCTCTCTTTCCCTTTGCCCTTCCCCCTGCTCTCTCTCTCTAAAATAAGCAAATCTTTTTTTTTTTTTTTTTTTTAGGAATTTTTTTTTTTTTTTTTTTTCAGAGAGAGAGAGAGATCACAAGTAGGCAGACAGTCAGGCAGAGAGAGAGAGAGGAGGAAGCAGGCTCCCTGCTGAGCAGAGAGCCCGAAGTGGGACTCAATCCCAGGACCCTGAGATCATGACCCGAGCCGAAGGCAGAGGCTTAACCCACTGAGCCACCCAGGCGCCCTAAAATAAGTAAATCTTAAAAAAAAAAAACTTTAGATTCCCAAATAGCTAGATATTACTAATTGTTTAAAATCCACTAACCTAAAAAATAGTTTATAATTTCAGCATCTATTAGTTATGCTTATTTAGTTCAATTAAACAACAATTTATTTAGCACCTGTTGTGCACCTAGCTTTGTTCCCAGGAAGTGTATGTTTAAACTAAGCATGCATTATACAATCAAAAGAAAAAAGGAGGGTTGCCTGGCCTGCTCGGTCAGTGGAGTATGCAACTCCTGATCTTGGGCTTGTGGGTTTCAGCCCCATGTTGGGTGTAGAGATTACTTAAAAGTAAAATCTTAAAAAAAAAAAAAAAAAGGAAAAGTTAAAAAAAGAGAAAATGAAAATAATACCATAGAAGATATCTGAAGAACACTTAAGAAACAATCATCTTTAAATACACACTTTGAAATTTGACCATTTTTACCAACCGCTCGTATCATTTGAGAATAATAATGCTGTTTAGTATCCGGTGTGATAAGTGGCTTACATTCAGTACCTCTTAGTCTTAAAACAATTCTGCCAAAAAAACAAAACAAAACAAAAAAACCAATTCTGGATGCTGTTTACCATTGCACTGATGAGAAAATTGAGTCCAGAGAGGCCCTGCCACTTGTAAGGATCACAGAGCGTTAACTGTTTTATGTCTAAGCTTTTTTCTTAATTAACAAGTATGGATTGAATGTCTCTTAGGTGCAAACCCTGTAAGAAGCCCTAAAGTTGGGTCCACAGATAAATAAAACACATCTTGGTCCTCAAATGATCTTAAAAGCTGGTAGAGACAGACATTGCAAGTCACATAAGATGGAATAAAAGGAAAGGAGGAGGAGGCTTTTAAAAACTCTCCCACCACCTGTTCTTTTGGGTGGGTTGCTAGTACCAACCCTCCTTCCTTTCCTCGACTTTGTCCCCCCTCACTTTTCCTCCTTTATTTATTTTTCCTAAATCATACCCCTCAAGCAGATAGAAAAAAAAAAGTGCTATTCTCTTTAAGCTTTTTATTTTAGATTTAATTGACTTTGAGACACTTAGGCTTAAGTTGAGGAACAATGCCCTCCCCTCCCCCCCGCCCACCCTGTGTTCTCTGTGGCTCCTGTTGTGGCTCCGGACTGGCCGACAGCCCAGGAGCCTTCGGGAGTGCCCTGGCTGGGCTTCTCTCTCCACTGACTCAGGAAGCTGAAGTGGAGAGCTGATATCACTGACTAACGGAGTGTAAGACTGATTTTTAACTTTTTTGAAAGCATGCAATGAGGTGGGGCACCTGGGTGGCTCAGTGGGTTAAAGCCTCTGCCTTCGGCTCAGGTCATGGTCCCAGTGTCCTGGGATCGAGCCCCACATCGGGCTCTCTGCTCTGCGGGGAGCCTGCTTCCACCTCTCTCTCTATCTGTCTGCCTCTCTGCCTACTTGTGATCTCTGTCTATCAAATGAATAAATAAAATCTTTAAAAAAAAAAAAAAAGCATGCAATGAAGTATCATTGGTATTTAACACCATTCTGGAAGGCCTGTGGAAAACCATCAGGTAGGATACAGAAGTAGGATAAAGAATTATTGGAAGGAAGAAGGCATTTATTATTTGGGGACAGTATGTCCTTTAAGAAAACCCAAAGGAATCAACTAAAGGTATTTTAAACAATGAGTTTAGTAGACCAAACTATATAAGTAAATAGAGACCAGCTTACTTATGATAGATTAGTTAGAAATCACAGCAGAAAAATCCCACTCACAATGACAATAAACAAAATAACTAGGACTGACCTATCAGGAAATGCTTTTGTGGGAAAGAAAAAATGCTTTTGTGGAGTCTTTTGTGAAGAAGACTGCCAAAATATGTTTATCCATCCATCAATTCATCCATCCACCTATTAAAAAAAAAAAAGACAAAGATTATGGTGAGACATACCATGCTTCCGAATGGGAAGTCTATTCATATAGATTTTATAATATTCATCATAAAGACATCAGTACTTCTCAGATTAAGTTACAGGTTTAACGTAGTTCCTAGCAAAATATCAGTGGAATTCTTGAGGAATCTTGAGGAAATGATTCTAAAATTCCTTTGAAAGAATAAGCCAGTGAAATAGGAACATTTTGGAGAGTAGAAGTCATTAGAGGAACGAGTCTATCACTGATCGTAAAAATACTATATAGAGATTTATAATAAGAAGAACCGTATGTTTCCGGTACAAGAATAGATACAGAGATCAGAAGTAAACCCCAATGGAGTTGTAAGAATAAAAATACTATGTGATAAGGAGTATTAAATATTGGTGTAAAAAGATAGATGATTTAATAATTGAGAAATATACTTGGGAGAAAACAACCTTAGCCTCATGTCATGTATCAAAATAATCTCAGGTGAATTATGGATGAAAAATGAGGCTGTAGTAAACTATAATGAAACTTAAGCAAATAACTGTTTTCTTAATTGGAAAATAAATCATACAGACAAAGATGAATAAATTTGATTACATAATAATATATTAACTTTAAAACAGAAATGTATAAATAAGATTAAAAGGCTAATAAAAACTTAGATAAAAATATTACACTAACTGGACAAAGAATATCCTTAAAATAGATTGGATTTATTTACACTGATTAGAAAGTCAATTCAACCCCTATTGTAAATAAATGTGCGAAGTTCATGACCACAAAATTTCTGGGAAAGGAGATAAACATGTGGCAAGAGGTTCACACTTGTTATTTATCAATGACATACATATTAAATGAGACTTATTTTTTTATACCAGATTAGTAGAGATCTATGAATTCTTGGCAGGAGTAAAAATTAATATCACTTTATTGGGAAATAATTTATCATTATATATCAATAACATCAAAATTTTTTATATTCTTTGACTCGATAATTCTACTTTTAGGTATCTACCCTACGGTCATATACAAATGCAGACAAAGGCTTATGAACAGAGTGTTCAATGAAGCATTGTTCATATCAGAAAAAATAAAAACAATATAAGTGTCTATAATAGAGGATTAAATACATATTGGTACATCTGTGGGATATAGTTGAGCTATAGCTATTAAAATTATTTTGAATAATTTTTAAAATAACCATTAGCTTTTTTTTTTAAAGATTTTATTTGTTTATTTGACAGAGCACACAAGCAGGCAGAGCAGCAGCAGAGGGAGAGGGAGAAGCTGGCTCCCCACTGAGCAGAGAGCCCGATGCGGGACTCCATCCCAGGACCCTGAGATCATGACCTGAGCTGAAGGCAGATGCTTAACCAACTGAGCCACCCAGGCGCCCCTATTTTGAATAATTTTTTACATAGGTGAATGCCCATGATAAAATAAGCTATCACGGAATGATCAAAAGCAGGAAACAAAATTAAATATAAAATATGTTCAATTATGTGCCTGTCATATGAGTAAGAAAAAGACTGGAATCAGATTCATCAAAGTGTCATGAACCATGTTTTCTAGTTTCAGGATTAGAAGTGATCTTGATTTTTTTTAATATATACTTTTCTATATAATCCAAATTCTGTACAAAGGAAGTGAATTACTTTAGAGGGAGGAAAAAAAAAATAAAAGTTTTTAAATTGTGGTATATCCATATAGTGGAATATAAGCAATAAAAAGAAATGGTCATTAATGTGTATAGCAACATGGATGAATCTTGAAAGCATCATGCTAAAGAAACTAGCCATTTATGTGCCACCCCTGAAGAGGTAACATTAGGGAATGGAGGGGAGGCACTGGTTGCAGAGGGGTACAAGGGAGATTTGGGGGGTAACAGAAATGTTCTATGTCTTGACTATAGCTTTGATTATAAGACTATACATTTGTCGGGGCGCCTGGGTGGCTCAGTGGGTTAAGCCTCTGCCTTTGGCTCAGGTCCTGATCTCAGGGTCCTAGGATTGAGCCCCGCATCTGCTCTCTGCTCAGTGGGGAGCCTGCTTCCCCCCGCTCCACCGCCTGCTTCTCTGCCAACTTGTGATCTCTGTCTGTCAAATAAATAAATCTTTAAAAACAAACAAACAAACAAAACTATACATTTGTCAAAAATCATTGAACCGAGTACTTTAAAAGGGTGAATTTTATTTTATATAAATTATATCTCAATAAACCTGACTTTAAAAAAGTCTTAATGGATGAGATTTGGGAATATTTTTGTAGCGTAAGTAGGTTTGGGAGCATGATGAAGCAGTTCCAGAAAATTACTGTCTTAAAATGAGGTCCATAGGTTTCTGTGAATACTGGATATATCTATTATATATAATAACTTATATGCCCAACTTGCTAAGTTGGTTAATATGTATTACTAAATCTTTTTTTTTTTTTTTAAGATTTTATTTCTTTATTTGACAGAGAGAGATCACAAGTAGGCAGAGAGGCAGGCAGAGAGAGGAAGGGAAGCAGGCTCCCCACTGAGCAGAGAGCCTGATGCGGGACTCGATCCCAGGACCCTGAGATCATGACCTGAGCCGAAGGCAGAGGCTTTAACCTACTAAGCCACCCAGGCGCCCCTGTATTACTAAATCTTTAATGATTAAAAAAACAAGACACCAGGGGTGCCTGGGTGGCACAGTCAGTTGAGCATCGGACTGTCAGTTTGGGCTCAGGGTGGGGTTATGGAATCAAGCCCCACATTGGGCTCCACACTTTGTGTGGAATCTGCTTGAGATTCTCTTTCTGCCCCTCTCTCTGCCCCTCCTGCTCATGCTCTCCCTCTCTTGCTCTCATAATAAATCTTTAAAAAAACAAACAAAAAAACAGGACACCATATCCATTCCTGGGACTTCAAAATTACTTTAAAAAAGAAAAGTCAATCACTTTTTATCTAACATCATTTTTAAAGTCTTTTTAAAATGCATTTTTTTTTAAAGATTTTATTTATTTATTTGACAGAGAGAGATCACAAGCAGGCAGAGAGGCAGGCAGAGAGAGAGGAGGAAGGAGGCTCCCCGCTGAGCAGAGAGCCCGATGCGGGGCTCAATCCCAGGACCCCGAGATCATGACCTGAGCCGAAGGCAGTGGCTTAACCCACTGAGCCACCCAGGCGCCCCTAAAATGCATTTTTATATATTTTTAGTGATTCTTTTTTAAAAATTGAGGTGAAGCTTTGCGCAGTGGCAATATCGTAGCCAATGAGGTTTATCCGAGGCACGATTATTGCTAATTAAAATTTGAGGTGAAATTCACATAACATAAAATCAAAGCATATACTTCAGTGGCATTTACTACGTCAACAATGTTGTATAACCACCATCTCCATCTAGTTGCAAAACATTTTCATCACCCCAAAAGGAAAGGCAGTACCTGTAAGCAGTTACTCCCCATTCTCTTCTGTCTTCAGCCTCTGGCCGCCACCAGTCTGTTTTCTGTGTCAATGCATTTGCCTATTCTGGATATTTCCTGTAATTGAGATTGTACACTATGTGACCTTTTGTGTTTGTCTTTTTTCACTCAGCATAATGTTTTTAAGGTTCATAAAAATACATTTCCAACTTCCATTCAGAAACCTAACCAGATTGAAAAATTAAAATTTGACCACAATCTTGACCTAACACATTAACTCTGATTATTCTTGTTTGAAAAGCTGCTTGTAAGGTAGTGATAGCTCATATTTTTATAGTGGTTGCCTCTTATAGAGTAGTTCACAAAATATACCTGATTTGATGATTACTGCAACCCAATGAGGTAGATAGGGTGGCGGTTAGAACCCTCACTGTCCAATCTTTACATGACCGTCAACACTATGATTTATAGAATAAAGTACCCAATGTCTCTTAAGTGTTCAGGTGCCAGTACATATACTAAGCATTTTGCATTTATTTACTCATTTAATCATCACAACCAACCTATGAAGTAGGTAACATTGTTGTCATTTCACAGATGAGAAAATTTAGGCACAGAAAAGTTAAGTAACTTTCCCAAGGTCGCATGGTCAGTGAGTGACAGATGTGGCAAGACAAGACTTCCAAGGCAGTCTTGGCCCCAGAGCCCGCGCCTTTAACAGCGCACGCCCTCCTGTGCAGGACCCGTATGACCACCTGCGGAACATCACTGGCGGAGCTGGGGCTGGTGGCCGGCCATTCCTAGACCTGAGCTGGGCCGCTGTTGTCTTGGCTCTTCTCGGGGACACTTCCGGTGTACACCTACCTTCTTCAGATGGCCTGAATTTCAAACTCTTTCTGCCTAGTCTTACACAAAACCGTGCTGCTGAACCTTTTGCAGGGGACAGTGGCTCTCTTAATTATGCCTTTTTATCTTCCAGGTGTTAGCTACTGGCGGGTGCCTCATGAGCTCATAGAATGTTGGACTCTGGAAGAGCGGCCCTTGCTTGGAAGCCTCCGTCACATGGCCCCGATTCGAAAGAGGTTATCTGTGCTCTCTTCATACTGTTTTTCACTTTATGAATTTGAACCTGTATTTTTACTGCTTTTACTGGGGAAACGAATAATGGTTCTTGACCTTACCAAACTTACTAATCACTGAGCTAAGTGCTTTGCCTTATCATCAAAATATAAATCATGATAAATTCAAAATTATCAAAACTATCTAAACATTGGAAATAATTCTCTAAAACTGACTTACAGTATGTCCTTTTTGGGAGAGTGTGCTTTTAAGAATACTAGTGGATACAGTGAGAATGCTGTGGTATTTTTCCCTATAAAAGTGAAATCCTAGGCTTTATTGGCAGTAGTCAAAAACTTACTTATTAGACTTAATATTTGAAATCTTCTGACTTACTCTGAATTCCTTTCTCCTTCCTGTTACCACAAATAGCATTTTAATTTAATGGTATTTCTTTTTTTTTTTTAAGATTTTATTTATTTATTTGACAGAGAGATCACAAGTAGGCAGAGAGGCAGGCAGAGAGAGAGGAGGAAGCAGGCTCCCTGCTGAGCAGAGACCCCCCCAATTTGGGACTCGATCCCAGGACCCTGAGATCATGACCTGAGCTGAAGGGAGAGGCTTTAACCCACTGAGCCACCCAGGTGCCCAATTTAATGGTATTTCTTATAATTCTATGAAATTATTAGCATTAACTTGACTCCACATCTCTGCCTTTCACTTTAAATACATTTAGAATCATATTTTTCATTGGGTATTATTCATGGTTTTCAAATGTTCTGATTTCTTGATCATCTGTTCTAGAATTTGATTCAGTGACCCTGTAGAATCTCTGATTGTTTTCTTTTTTTTCTTACCCTTTGGATCTTCCACAGAAATGTGGAGAATTTTATTCAGTTTTTAGTTGTTCATTATCTCTTGTTAAATGAGCTTTTTTCTTAAAGACTCTCCTTTTTATTATTATTTATTTTGCTTTTTGGGCTTACAGTTAGCAAATATTGTTTGGGTCTAGAGCAGTGGTTCTCAAATGGAGGCACTTTTGTCCCATAGGGCATATTTGGCAATATTCAGAGACACAGTGGGGTGGGAGATGCTACTGGGACCTAGTAAGTGAGCCCAGGGACACTGCTAAACATCTCAGAATGTGCTGGGCAGCACCAACAACCAAGATGTATTCAGCTATAAATGGCAATAATGATAAGGTTGAGAAAACGTGGTCAAGAGTCTAGTGGAAGTTGTGGACAGAAAAAAACAAGCAGGAATGGTTTTATGGAGATTCTCCTCTGTTTGTCTTCTCTCTGGTTTATTAAGCATGGTTTTTGATTCATGGATAATTTAATGATATTGGTGACTTAGAAGCAACTGCGAGGTCCCAAAGAATGACTTGATTCACTTAACTAAATGTAGTTATGTTTAGTAGTTTTAGGGTTGAATGTGTTTGTATTCTCTACTACATGTCAGTGTTCAGATCACCATGCCATTATGATCCTATTTCCAGGATCAAAGTTCATTTATTTGCCTCTGAAAACTCATCGGTGCTGATAAGAGGGAGAAAACTAGGGGAATTGCCATTACACTTCCCATTCAGGAGACTATCTTCGTGAAATGAAACTGATGCAAGCCGTAGAAGAGGCAGGCAGGGTTTCGACGGTGGTTGTTTGACAGTTTTAAGGTCATTTCAGACAATATTCCCTCTGATTGTTCCTACATTTTGGTAATGTGGTATATCGCATTGACTGGCTTACAGATGTTGAACCATCCTCGCATCCCTGGAATAAATCCTGCTTGTCTTGGTGTACGATCCTTTTAATGTATTGTAGAATATGATTTGCTAATATTTTGTTGAGTATTATTGCATTTATGTTCACCAGGGGTATTGGCCTGTAATTTTCTTTTCTTGTGGCATTCTTGTCTGGTTTTCGTATCAGCGTTCTCCTGGCTTCATAAAAAGAATTTGGGAGAGTTCCCTCATCTTCTGTTATTTGGAAACATTTGAGGATTGGTATTAAATCTTCAAATGTTTGGTAGAATTTACCAGTGAAACCATCTGGTCCTGGACTTTCGTTTGTTGGGAGTATTTTTGTTTTGTTTTGTTTTAGTTTTTAAGTAAGCTCGAGGCCCTATGTGGGGCTTGAACTCATGTCCCCAAGATCAGGAGTCACATGTCCACTGACTGAGCCAGCCAGGTGGCCTGGTTGCTTTTTGATTACTGATTCAACCTCTTTACTAGTAGTTGGTCTGTTCATATTGTCAATTTCATCTTGAGTCAGTCTTGGTAGGTTGTATGTTTCTAGGAATTTTAAAAAATTTATTTATTTACTTATTTCCTTTTTTAAAAAAATACTGTAGTATAGTTGACATACAATGTTATATTAGTTTCAGGTGTAAAATAGTGAATCAACAATTCTATGCATTATGCATTGCTCACAATGCTAAGTCTCCTTACCATCTGTCACCATACAACGTTATATAATATTATTGACAGTATTCCCTTAGGCTATACTTTTCATCCCCATGACTTATTTATAACTAGAAGCTTGTGCCTCTTAATCACTTAAGAATTTATCTATCTCTTCTAGGTTGTCCAATTTTTTGCTATGTAATTATTCATAGGAAGTTCTTATGATCCTTTGTGTCTCCATGGTATCAGTTGTAACATCTGTTCATTTCTGATTTTATTTATTTAAGTCCTTTCTCTTTTTTCTTGGTGAGTCTAGCTAAAGGTTGGTCAATTTTGTTTATCTTTTTAAAGAACCAGCTCTTAGTTTCATTGATCTTTTCTATTGTCTTTATAGTCTCTATTTCATTTACTTCTGCTCCAATCTTTATTTCCTTTCTTCTACTAATAATGTGTAGTTGTCACTCAGCTATTCTTTAGGATTTTAAGAGGAAATTGTTCTGTATGTAGATGTAAACTCAGTGTATCCATGGGAGGAGGTAAATTCAAGATTTTCCAACTTCCCTATTGTGAACTGAAACAAATGTCTCATTAGGGTTTTTTTTTTTTTTTAAGATTTTATTTATTTATTTTGACAGACAGAGATCACAAGTAGGCAGAGAAGCAGAGAGAGAGAGAGGAGGAAGCAGGCTCCCTGGTGAGCAGAGAGCCCAATGCGGGGCTCGATCCCAGGACCCTGGAATCATGATCTGAGCCAAAGGCAGAGGCTTTAACCCACTGAGCCACCCAGGCGCCCCGGTTTTGATATCCTATCAAAAATCATGTGATCATCTCAATAGATACAGAAAAAGCACTTGACAAAATTCAACAACAGTTTATGATAAAAATTCACAACAAAGTGGGAATAGAGGGACTGCACATCAACATAATAAAGGCCATATATGACAAGACCCCAGCTAGCAACATAATCAATGGTGAAAGGCTTTTCCTTTAAGGTCAGGAATAAGACAAGGATGCCCACTCTTGCCACTTTTATTCAACATGGTACTGGAAGTCCTAGCCAGAGCATCTAGGCAAGAAAAAGAAATAAAGGGCATCCAAATTAGAAAGGAAGAAGTAAAACTGGCACTATTTGTAGTTGGCATGATATTATACATAGAAAACGTTAAAACCATCAGTACAATTAGAGAAAACAAACAAATTCAGTAAATTTGCAGGTTACAAAATTAATACACAAAAATCTTTATTTCTATACACTAATGATGAATTATCAGAAAGATTCATTAAGAAAAAAATCCCATTTACAATTGCACCAAAAAGAATAAAATATCTAGAAATAAATTTAACCAAGGAGGTGAAAGACCTGCTTATTGAAAACTATAAGATATTAAAGAAATGAAAGAAACTGAAGAAAACATAAATAAATGGAAAGATATTCTGTTCTCATGGATTGGAAGAATACTGTAAAAATGTCCATACTGCCCAAAGCAATCTACAGATTCAGTGCAATCCCTATCAAAATTCCAATGGCATTTTTTTTTTATGGAAATAGAACAAACAGTCCTCACATTTGTATGGAACCACAAAACATCCCGAATAGTCAAAGCAATCCTGAGAAAGAAGATTTGACAAAGCTGGAAACCTCATGGTCCCTGATTTCAATTAACATAGTCCCCTCCCCTCCTTTTCCACAGGGGATATGTTCCAAGACCCCCAGTAGATGCCTGAAACTACGGGTAGTACTGAACTGTATATGTACTGCGTTTTTTCCTATATGTACGTACCTGTGATAAAGTTTAGTTTATAAATTAGGCACAGGATTAATAATAATAACTAATAAAATAGAACAATTATAACAATATACTGTAATAAATGTTATCGGAATGGGGTCTCTTGAAATATCTTATTGTACATCACCCTTCTTGAGATGATGTGAGATGATAAAATGCGTATTGATGAGATGAAGTGAAGGACATAGACATAGCATTAGGCTAGTAGTCATAGTATGAATGACATTGTGACATGGTGTTAGGCTAGTACTGACATTCTGATTATAGTCAGAAGGAGGATCATCTGCTTCCAGACCATGGTTGACTGTGGGTAATTTAAACTGCAGAAACTGCAGAAAAGGGCAGACTACTGTATATTACAGAACTATAATAATTAAAACAGTATGGTATTGGCATAAAACTAGACACATAGATCAGAGGAACAGAATAGAAAGCCCAGAAATAAAGATACCCATAAAGAACAGTCTCTTTAGTACATGGTGTTGGGAATATTGGACATCCACGCGCAAAACAATGAAACTGAATCCCTGTCTTGCACCACACACAAAAATTAACTCAAATAGATTAAAGACTTGAACATAAGATCTGAAGTCATTAAACTCCTGGAAGAAAAACAGAGGTAGTAAGTAATTTGACACAGACCTTGGGAATGATTTTTTTTTTTTTGTATCTGACACCAAAAGCAAAAATAACAAAGGTAAAAGTAAACAAGTGGGACTATATCAAACTAAAAAACTTCTACACAGCAAAGGAAACTATCAAAATCAAAAGACTATCTGCTGAATGGGAGAAATATTTGCAAATCATATATCTGATAAGGAGCTAATATCTAAAATATGTAAGGAACTCATACAACTCAATAGCAAAAAAAAAAAAAAAAAAAAAAAAGATTATAAAATGAGCAGAAAATCTGAATAGATACTTTTCCAAAGAAGACATACAGATTGCTGAGAGGCACATGAAAAGATGCTCAGCATCAGTAACCATCAGGGAAACGCAAATCAAAACCACACTGAGATACCACCTCAGATCTGTTAGGGTGGCTATTATCCGAAAGAAGGAGAGAACAAATGTTGGCAAGGATGTGGAGAGAAGGGACCCCTTGTGCACTTATGGTGGGAATGTAAACTGGTGCAGCCACTATGGAAAATAGTATGGAGGCTCTTCAAAAAATTAAAGGTAGAACTACCATATGATCCAGCAATTTCACTTCTGGGTATTTATCCGAAGAAAATGCAAAGAGTAACTTGAAAAGATATATGCATCCCTATGTTCATTGCAATATTGTTTACAATATGGAAAAACCCAAGTGTCAATGATGGATGGAAAAAGATGTGGTGTGTGTGTATATAAGTGTTACACACACACACAGTGGAATATTATTCATCCGTAAAAAAGAATGAAATCTTGCCATTTGTGACAACATGGATGGACCTTGAGGGCAGTAAGTGAAATAAGTGTGATCTAATATCTAATATGATCTAATATGATCTAATATGTGGACCCTCCCCCCCATCAATTCCAAGCTGATAGATACAAAGAACTAATCGTTAGTGGTTGTCAAAGGCAAGGGCTGGGGGAGGGAAGAAATGGGTAAACTAGGTGGGTTTTTTTGTTTAAACAGAATTTTTAAAAAATTAAAACACTGCTGTGCCTTCAGACTTTTTTTATAATGAATGGCAGACTCAATTCAGGTATCTCTGAAGGTTTGTCCAGTACCTCTCAAATTCAAAAAGCATCCAAGTATACCAAGGGTTTGACCATTCTAGCAGCTCCCCAAATGCATTTCAAAAAATGCTAATTTTAGTGGGTGCCAGATGTTGCATTACAGAATTATTGGGAAATACGGATACAACAAAGTTAAACAGTTGCCTTTAGACCTCAGAAACTTTGTTGGAGTGTAAAGTTTCAAGAGGAGAGTAAAATATGCAGTAGCATTTCTCAAGGAGTTTATTGGACTGTGAAACAGTAAATTTCCTCAGTAACTCTATTAAAAAACTGTTGTTCTGGGAAAACAAAACAACTTGGGATCATCCTGGTTATCCTCCGGACCACTTGAGGATTCTTAGGAACCAAGTGATGTGTAATTCTAGTATAACATAGTAAATTTCAAGTTGTCGTTCTTATTAACATTATGGTGATTTTAAAGAGTGTGTTTTCAAGTAGAAACAATCTCATGTAACCTTGGTGATTTATTTATTGACCTTGATGGGAGAGGAGATGAGGTAGGCTGATGCCTCCGAACATCTTGACTCAAATTCTTGAGGAAAATGATTTTGGTCCTTAAGACAGAACTTTGGAGACGCGTCCCCGGGTCGCCCAGCCCTGTAAACGCTGACCAGGACATGCTTCTGTGTTCACAGGCGACTGACGGCGTTCAGTGACGAGGAAGACGAAGGTGTGAACTGTAAGACTGGTCCCAAGCCGGTCAGATTCCTGGGCCCTTCCACCAGCACCCAAATTAAAGTCAAGAACTCGGCGTCGGTGCGGGTGTCCCCGGCCGGCGCCCCCCAGTCTGCAGGCGGGAAGGCAGCGCTGCGCTCGGCGCCGCCGAACGCTCCGTCCCGGTCCCGGGCGGGCGCTGCGCTGCCGGGGCAGCCTCAGCCTCGTGGGGCCGGGAGCGCGGAGAACGGAGCCGCGCACCCGCCTCCCGCCAAGGTCCTGCTCTCCGACAAGAAGGCCGCCCCGCCCCGCGTGATAAAACTGAAGCGGACTCCACTGTGCGCCGCCGGGCCGCCCCCGTCCGCCGGCGCAGAAACCAGGCCCGCGGAGACCCCCGCGCCGACCCCGGAAGCCCCAGGCGCGCACGCGCGGACTGAAAATGGGCGGGGTCAGGCTGATTGACGGAAGCGTCCCGCTCGCTTCCCGGAGTGCCCGAGCCGTGCGCTGCTCCGTGGCGCAGTAGGGCTGGAAACCGGGGTTTCTTTAGGATCATTACGGGAAAAATGAATCGTGTCAAGGAGGCATGGAAGAGGGAGACTTTAAGTGGTTGGGCCTATCTTGTCTCAACTTGGAAATGGTTGTCTACTGACGGTTTGAATTTCAGGTTTTTAATTTTTTTTTTTTTTTTTGATGGTTCATTGGTCTTAAGGCAACAGAACAGTACAGTAAAATCATCACTACAAGTACACTTTGTTGCTGAATAATTATAGACTTTAGGCACTTTTGTAATGTTACTCATTGCCGCCCAGGGCCGAATGGGGTTAGATATTTCCGTCTGGTGAAATAGGGTGACATTAGTGTTTCCCTGTGCTGTGTCACAGCCAAGAGATTTGATAGAAAATTCAGACCCAGGTGAGCTCCCTGCAGGTTTCTTCCAGTCTCAGAAGGCTTCGTGAAAAGAAATGACGAGGGGGGAAAAAATAATAATTTAAGATCACACTTTGACTCTGACTCAATTGAACTATTTTCTTTTCCTAGATTGTTTTCTTTCTTACCCCTTTTTGCTAGCAGATTTATTTGTACATCATAAGAAGATGTCTTGGGATGAGAACTATGTAACATGTCTTCAGAATGAATTGTTAAAATATTTTATTTTAATTTGAACAGTGAAATTCTGAAAGTACTTTGAAAAGGAAGTTAAGCATTAACTTTTAACTAAAGTTACTACTTGTTTCTCAGGAATGACCAATGAGGAGTCATTCTGATTATACAATATGATTTTTATGCGTAAAACTCCCACTTACCTTGAACTTAATATTTTTAAACAAAATATTTTGATTAATCCTCTATTTTTTCACAACTATTCAGTTGTATGTGTCTGCTCTGACATGTTAAGTTTTATAATTGGATCCCACATTTCTGCCTTCAGTAAGCAGTATGCCTTCAGTGTATTAAAAATAAGTTCATAAAGCAGGGTATTTTTACTCTGTGCTTATCATTGTACTTGCATTACTTTGAAAGGGTAGAGTAAATATACTCAAAGCATTACTTTTTACAAAATAAATTAAAACTTTTCCATAAAAAGTAACATTTTCCATGACTGTGCTTATTTTTAAGCCCTAGAGCCCCTTGGGAGTCTGAGAGGTGGTTTGTTTAATGCTTTATCTATTTCTGGTTACAAAATTGCTTTCTTGTCTAGATAATATATGAAATAATTAAACCGATTTTGGATAGCTAGCCAGATACCAGCAGCCTTTTAAAATAGGTGTTTTATTTGGCTAGAAAAAAGCGAATATTCAACTGACGGTTCATGAGTGACATTTCCCTATAGAATATAAAAAATAATTAGTCACCTTGAAAAATACTATTGTAAAGAATCCAAGCATTCTGAATATCAAAGATCACAGTGAATTGGGGGAACTTCCATTTCAGACTTTGCTAGTATTGCTGGATCTAGGGCATTTTGAATTGCTGATTCACATAAGAATATTTCATACCTGTAGACTTGCTTGGTGCAGGGTTGCCACAAAACCTTCAATCTGTAAGAAGTGCACCACCTATGCCGCACAAAGCAAAGTGCAATTAAACGCGGTGTGCCTGTGCTCCTGGGTGATTCTGTGAGCAGCCCGCCCTTCTTTGCCGCTAACAGTTTAAAGGAAATCTATTTAGCACATCTTTATGAGCAGAGTTTTTGGAATAGCTACCAGGCCGTGGTGCCACTGAGGTAGAAAGGAACAATGGCCCCTTTTGGGTATCAGGAGTCAAAGTCAAATTCCGAATGCTCAAGTAACTTGAACATTAGTTGGAGTGGTTCCCTGGGGATTAGGAATTTTTGCATGAAAACACATTTCTCAAGATTCTGGGAAAGGAATAACTCATCATAGCCCATTGTTCTTCTTAGAAAATGAAAAATAAGAAATGGGAAAGTATGCTTTATAAATAACAGTTCAATGTCATTACTTTGGGAATATAGTTTTGTGCTGTTCTTGGGTCAGAGGACACGAGAAAATTTTAATGGTGAGTGAAGGATATTTAGTTACTGCTCATTTCAAAAAAAGACATTTGACTATGATGCCCTTACAGGTAGTAATCTTTGTTGAAAACTGGTTTGGCCTGATTAAAATTGGTTAGTTATATCATGGAGAGCCTAAGGCTGACAATTTATGTTTCATATTTGTAAATAGTAAGTTTTTGGTTCACTATTGCCTTACACTACAGTTTTATAAAGTATTTTCATATATTCTATTTGATTGTGTTCATTTTGCTTGTTAGTCTCAGAACAACAACATAATGAAGGTCGTCTTTCCCAGTTCCTTCAAGATCAAGAAAAAAATGAGGTTGAACAAAATAAAGGCTGTACGGTAGTAACACCTCCCTACACCCACTTCAACCCCACGTTTTAGGCCCATAATCTGATAATGACAGACTAACACAACATCACCGACCAAAGGAAACGGTAGATGGAGGAAGGAGACTAAAAATGTGAACTTGTTTAATATTTAAAGTTTTTGAGCAGGAAAGTATTAATATTGTATTTGGATTACATGTCTGTTACACTTTGTTGCCTCTCTGTGTGCAATACCTGGTACATGGTAGTCCTTCAGTCAATTTTCTTTTTTAAAGATTTTATTTATTTATTTGATAGAGACATAGCAAGAGAGGGAACACTAGCAGGGGGAGTGAGAGAAGGAGAAGCAGGCTTCCCGCTGAGCAGGGAGCCTGATGTGGGGCTGGATCCCAGGACCTGGGGATCATGACTTGAGCCGAAGGCAGACGCTTAAGGGCTGAGCCACCCAGGCGCCCCCTTCAGTAAATTTCTGAACAGTGAAAGCAACCCCCCGCTCCCTCCCCCCCATATTTATTTTTAAAAACGTGTCTGGTAGCAATCTTCAGGAGCTGTGGAAACTGATTTCCGACCTTGCGGAGTGTATCCTGTCGGAACAGAAGAAGTGGTAGTGGAAGTTCCTTCGTAGGGTGATTATTGCTAATGACCAAAATTACCGTCAGGAATGACCAGAACAGTTATAGGACTTGTCAAGTTGTTTAAAGTAATCCAGAGCCACGGATCGCGAGATCTCAAGGAGGTCGATGCCAGTGCTGTCTGACTTCTGAGAAAGGAAAAAAAGTCTGGCCTCCCTCCTCTGGCTTCATTGTTTCTGCTGGAATTGCTGATGCAGTTTCTTTTTCATTCACAGACTTAATCCTATTCAAGTGCTAACACTGAAAAAATTGTTGACTCAATTCCCAGTCTGTGGTTAAATATAGTATAATTATCCAGCTAGTCCTGGATTTTTAAAGAAGGAATTAACATGCAAGCATATTTGACTTTACCTGAGAAATTGTTCATAGAACATTTTTGATTTAAATAACATTTTGAGGGGCACCTGGGTGGCTCAGTGGGTTAAAGCCTCTGCCTTCGGCTCAGGTCATGATCCCAGGACCCTGGGATCGAGCCCCACATCGGGCTCCCTGCTCAGCAGGGAGCCAGCCTCCTCCTCTCTCTCTCTGCCTGCCTCTCTCCCTACTTGTGATCTTTCTCTGTCAAATAAATAAAATCTTAAAAAAAATAAATAACATTTTGAATGTGCACGAATACTTGTGGTAGTAAATTGTTCTGTAAAAGGGAGGATGCTAATATTTGTATGAATATGAGGTTACCTCAGAACGGGTCGCCTTCTGCCTGCAATTCCTTTGGATAGCTTCAGTCTATATCTGGTAGGATGTTGGTTAGAGACAAAGTGCAAAGTACAAAGTTGATAAAGTGAAGGGAGAGAACTTCTACTAAAGCAAATGGAAAGTATTTTCACATTTTTTACATCTGTGTATTCCTGAAGTAACTAGGAACTTTCTCCTGATGGAAAGTACTGGCATTCTGCCATATGCGGAAACTCCCTTGAAAACTGTCAACAAGGTGCTGATTCCTCCCTGAAGAGTGGATGAGGCACTCTTTGTCGAGGGCTGCAGTTAGTATGCGGGGTCTCAGGCATGTAGTGCAGCCAAAAAAGCAAACACGAAAAGCTAACGGGGGGGGGGAAGAAAAAAACACTCGTTTCCAGCTGTTTTCAGAACTTCCTATTCGTGGAATTTGGTTAGTGGTGCAGCCTCAGAAGGGCCATTTTCACGTACAGTCCTGTCAGCCTCGTGAGACACACATGGCTCACCCATCGTTCCACATTGCTCCAGAAAAGCTAATTTTTCTTTGTTCACGTGTGTTGCCCGAGACAGCCCGTAGACAGTTCACATCCGCGAGCCAGACAGTTCCTGAGGCAGGCTGTAACCAAGATAAATCGAATTGTGTAGTAACCGGCAGTCAGCGTTCAGCCCGACTTGTTTATTTGACAACTTCTCCTTCTGTACTGTTGCGTCTCGTACTTTTGATTTCCTTCCTTTACCCTGAAGCCCTCATTACCTTAGTAAGATTTTGCCCAGCTACAGCGACGAACCAGGGGCCCGGAGCATAGAAGAGAAGCTTGTTTTAAACCGAGAGCACGTTACAGAAAGCAAAAGGTAGCGCGTTTGCTGAGGTTGGGAAAAGGCAAATACTGCTTCCATCTGCCAAGCTTTCTTCAAACTTTGGACATTCTGCTTCAATAACAGCTCTTTCAAGAACTCATCCCCTAAATTCTTGGTTTGGAAGGTGTGGAAACTCGACTTTGATGTAGATGACAGGTGGTTCAGACGATCTGGACGTTAACTGGTGAGCGAGGCCGAACCGGTCAAGAACCCAGCATAGCTGGGGGAGTAAGACAACATGTACTTTCTCACCAGCTCTGTGTTCCCTTTTTGCAAATCCCTTGTTCCCTCCAGATGAGGATTTTTCAACATCGACATGACATCTTGGATCATTCTGTGTGGTGGGTAACTGTGCCAGCATCCCTGGCCAGTGACCCCTGCCCCAGTTCTTGTCGTCAAAATGCCTCCAGACTTTTCCAAATGTCTTCTTTGGGTAAGGGGTGGGCACACATTTGATTATCCCCAGTTGAGAACCATTGTTTTAGTTGGGTGTCTTAACCTGAGCAAAATAATTTGTCTCCTAATTGGGGGCCCTGGGTATATGAAGAAACATCCCTGCTGTCAATCGTAGCCTTGGGGATTAAGGGAGGGCGTGATACCAAAGAAGGGGTGTCTCACGCCTGCCAATTACAACATATATCCTGTTAGTTTCCACTTCCATTTTTGGTTTTGGTATCGTAGCTGCCTCAAGGTGGGCTACTTGGGCATGAAGATTATTTTGAGTTGAAAGCAATCAAAACCCAGCAGAGTCAGAAAAAGCTCTTTTCTTCCCCCTCAATGGCCTAACCATAATGTAGATAGAGGACCTGCTCTAAGAAGAGCCACCAGGGGGGCCTGAGTGAGCAGGGGTAGGAAGCTGGCCCAAACTTGTTTTTTCCCTTGGACACTGGTCTCTACTCCAGTGGTAATTGTCCCTCTATCTGCTATTCTTGCATTCTTTCATAGCTAACCCCTTGGTACGAATTATTTCTTCTCTCAATTATAAACATATATAGACACACATAAAAAAGAACATACATATGAAGTTTCCACATACACATTCATAAACCTTCCCCATTTAAATTACTTTGTGGCTACTATCCCCTAATTGGAACCTGATACGTACAAACTGCCAGAAACTATTCCAAGTCATTTGCAAAGACGAACTTATTCAATCCTTATAACAAAGCTTCAAGGCTTGTTATAGGTGTGGTTATCAGCCCACAGAGGAACTGAGGCAGGGAGATGTTTGGAAACATACCCAAGTTTCCACAGCTGGGCCGTGGTGAGGCCTAGAAGCGAATCTAGGCAGTCTGCCACCAACGACAGGATTTTGTTGCTCTGTTGTCTTCCCATCTTCTCTAGAATTGACTTACTGGATTATTTTGCATAAAGCCATTGAGGCTCCAGAATTTTCTAGGGGTATTGGAACTGACCACTCTTTCCTGTCTGCTCTCTTGTATTTCTCGAGTTCCTACTGTGTGTCAGGCATTGACAGAGGGGTAATAATAATATTAGCCAACTCGGTACAGAGTGATGGTAATTTATAGAAAGTGAGGTCTCACAAAGGACTAGAAACAGGCAAATCTA